CTAAAACTAAACCTTTGTTCCTCATTTAATTTTGATAGTACAATATAATCATACATACACATATTCTAGAATGAATTCAAATAGAGAAAATGTCTATAACCAAAATATAATTAAAGCCTGCCCCTAAAAATTAACCCAAAGAAAAATGAAGAAGAAAAGAAGAGAAAAAGAAAAGAAGAAATATGTACATTCCTGAAAACATACGACATAACACCACCTATTAATTTTTGTTGGTTTTTATTTTCTTTCTTTTTCCTTTTCTCCTTGTAATCCTTGTACTCGAAAAATAGCCCGATCGACCTTTTTCCCTCTAAAAGACAAAAAAATTTAACTCATAGGAAATTACATAATAATCATAGAAAAGAAAGGAAAAAGAAAGAGAGCCCCCCGGCTAATATATACATAACCAACGTTTCATCTGCATGCGTATATGCACACACATGAAATTTATTAGTTATTTATTCCTTATGGTACGTGTGGTGATCATCTTCATCAGCATTTTCCAGATTTTGAATCCTAATTTGTTGATAAAACTGATTTATGAACTCCTCGGCCTTGGCATCAATCATCTCGTCTCCATTGTCATCATAACGTGCACACTGATCACTTTCGTCACCAGAGCTCTCCTCAGAGTTTTGAAGCTCTTGAAGATTGGTTGCGGACGTGTACCGGCTCACGCCACATGAGGAGTAGCTGGAAGAGGTTGCTGTATCCTGAAATGGCGAGAAAGGTGGCGTGAATAATTCCTCAGAAGAAGGTCGATCGTGCTCAGGCGAGAAAGTGATACGTTTGTCCTGGAAAGCTGGTGGTGGGGAATGGACGTTGTTGTTTAGGTGCATTGGGCGCATCGACCCCAGGACTGCCTTCCAGGAACCCTTGGAGGGAACGTCAAGATTCATGGATTTGGATTTGTGCTTGCTTGATTTATTTTGCAGCAAATAAATGGCTGCTTTGATGACCTGAAATGCGCTGCGTTTCTTCTTGGGCAAAGGCAAGCCATTTGGACGATCAGGAGCCTTCTTTTTCAACATGGTGAAGCAAGTAATCGTTGTGTTGTCTTCTTCCATTTCGATTGGAAGAAGAGAGAAAATGAAGGTCTTCTGATGAGAGTTCCTGATCAATCCCTGCACAGGGCAGGGAGAGATCAGGGAGAGAACCCTCAGGAGAGGGTTGAGGAGTTAGGGGGGCTTAGGGAAGCAAACGGAATAAAGGAAACCTTATATACAAGAGAGTTAAAGTTTGTTATAAGCTTGGTTCGTTTCGGTTTGGTCTATAGCTAGAATTGGCATTCAAATTGAAAGTGACTGGTTTTAATTGGAAAAATAAAAGGGCCTACACTTAATTGATTCCTGATTTCCCTAGTTTTTCTTTTTTAACATGTGATTATAGGTCATCCCATACCTTGTTTCTTTTTTTTTTTTTGCTAGCACACTACATGCTAATAAATAACAAAATGAATATTTGAAAGCTTATTTGAATTGATAGGTATATATGTGTCAATCATCCATTAAAATTATTTATCAGTTTAGTTCAATAAATTATAAATTACATTTCTGAATATATACAAATTAAAATTAATAAAGTTTCAAATACGAAAATAGTCAAATTTATGTGTAGGTAATTAAACCTATGATTTGCTTTATCTAGGTTCTCAGCTAATTAACCGACACTTAATTTTTGTACAATAATAGTTCCTCTCTACTCTAGGCTCTATTCAGCAATTAACAAAGAGAACTACAAATAGGAAGGGTCAACACCAAAATGCAAAGGGCAATGCAGGAAAAGGAATTGTGTAACAGGGTCCAAAATGTAATCAGAAGCAAAGGTTAATTAACGGCGCCGTTTGGTAGGTGGAGGCGCATGGGAGAGATTGAAGGGAAGGGAGGAGGTGGAGCGTTGTTTTGGGGGGAGGGGTAGCGTAGGAAGCTGCAACTTTCTATCTGTTTGGTTGAAGAGGTCAATCCCTGTCCTGAATCGACAGCTTTCAATGAATAATAATAAAAGCTAAAACCGGAATTGCTGGAGAATCACCATAAAACATGCAACCATGCACAACCACAACTTCAATTCTAGAAATCATTAGGGTCCGCCCCACACCGAATATACACGGTTCCACATTCACGTCGGGATTATTTCATTTTCTTTTTATTCCTCATGTAATCATTGATCATGTATTCGCACTTAGACTTTTGGTCATTGACGCCAGTTGATATATAAGTGCATTTTTTTTTTAAGGCAACGGTTCAATTCTGATATCTTACAAATTTGTTTAAAAAAAAAAATCATTGATCATGTATTCATGTGTATTACAAAGGGTTTATAAAAAATAAAAAATAATTGATATATAGTCAATTTAATATTTTTTTATATTTACTTTGATTTAGTTTATAAAAAGAAAGATTTTTTTAATATGTATCCTTAAAATATAAATTAAGTGTGTAATTATTATATCTTTTTATTATTAAAAAATATAAATTTTTTTAATTTTACCGTTAGATCCATACAAATCATTTTAATTAAATAATTATTTAAATGATGATCAATTTTTTTTAATACTAACTAATATGAAAAAAAATATAATAATTAAACTATTAACATACAAGTTAAAAATATTATATATATCAAATTACAAAATATTAGACTTACTTATTTTTTCATTACCAAAATAATAATTTATTTTATACGTGGTTATTATTATAAAAAAAATCTGAATTATAAAACACTAAGAATTATCATTATTATTATTATTAAGAAAAGGTTCTTTTCCAAGATGTGATTCTATATATTGCAAAAGAAAACAGCTGTGAGCTGCTTGCTTCACTTTATTTGCGGTTCTGGGTAACTTGAGTTGCACTTCACTCTGGAGAGAGCTGGAGGATTTGAACTTCTGACGTTGCTTTCCCCCCCTCGTAGTTCTGGCTTTCAATTATGCTATGACTGGGACAACCTGTCA